TAGTAATTTTTTTTCATTGTTCTTTTGAAAAATAAAATAGAAATAAAATTTTGACACATTAAAAACTTATTAAAACTCAATTTTAAAAGAGAGTTAATTTTTTTTACAGAGAGACATTCTTTTCCTCTCTCTTTTTTCGCCTTTCAGATTCTTTTGAGAGCTTCGGATTTCACACTGACACACACCCATCAGACGATGCAATTTACTTCTTGACAGCAGTTGGATTAAAGGTTATTCAATCCAACAGCTATCATTTGGTTGTTGTTGTTTTTTTTTTTTTTTAATTTAATTTTTTTAAATAAGTTAAATAAAATAATATTAATATAATTTTTTTAAAAAATTATTTATTTATATACATTAAGAAAGAGATGAGATGTTCTATTTGAATATAAATATTTAAAATTTAAATATATATAGAATAATATTAATTATAATAATATCATTTTTAAATAATTTTTTTTTATTATACATAATCTAAAAAATGGCCGTCCAGTGCCTTTTGCCCCTAGGTCTCGACTCTGGCCCTGAGACCTCCTAAAGGAGTAACTGTCCTCACAAAAGTTGCAGGTGGTAGAGCGTAAGAAAGGCAATTTCCTCCGTGACCCAAGGAGCTTCATGGATTTTCCTGCTAAAGGTATGAAGATTTTGAGAATATTCATTCTTATAGGACGGAAATAGAGGTATTTCTTTTCTCATAAAATTTTGTGGAAAATTTTTTTTACCCCATGAGAAATCGTAAAGATTCATATAAAATAAAAAAGTAAATTTATTTATATATGTATTTTTAAATATATTAATAATTAATTTTTACTTAACCTAATTAATTAATCAATCCTTTTTTTTTTAAGTTTTTTCAAACCCAATTATATAATCCAGCCCATAATCTTCTTAAACTTAATTACCCAAACCCAACCTAATTTGCTAGTAATCTTAGAACTAAATGGACTATTTCAAATTTTTTAGATTTGCAAATCTGCTCTGTGATTCTTCCTCTCTCCTCTTCTTTGCACTGTAACTCACTGGCTTTGTTCCTGTTCTTCCATCAATCAATTCCCTTCAACCTATCATTCTCAGCAACCTTCGAAAGATAGTATCCATAACTCTGTTTCTATTCTTTAATCGGTTACTTGCAGCTTGCTTGAATCTGAGTTGTAAGTATTTGTGAGTATCTGAGTATCTGTGCTTGATGATACTTTGAGGTGAAGCAGATTTCATTCTTTTGGCCATATTATTTTTGATTTCATTTTCCCTCCCATTGTTCGTAAGATTGTCAAAATGTGATTTTTGTTGTTTACATGCCTGCGTAACTTCTTTCTTACATTCGTCGCAAACGATAATTATATTGTTATTTTAAGACTCATTCAAACTCTTAAATTGTTATATCTTCAGTTAATTTCTCAAACAAAAAATGAGTATTGAGTTTTATTTGACGAGAATTTCAAATACTCACAAAGATCTATTATTTTTTACAAGTATGAAAATAGAAGTTATTTTTTATTTTTTTGTCAAAAATCTCCGTAAAATCAATGTACTCATCATTAACAGAAATAAAAATAAAGATGAGGATGAAAATGGATAAGGACGGGGATAAGGACGGGGATGGAGAGCGATCCCACCCGCATAGAACCCGTTGCCATCCTAATAGAGTGTAAGTACTGCCTACTATAAATATACAAACGAAGCACGGCGAAGGTGATTAGTGTGACACCGCATACTTGTCTGGCTTTTCACTGTAACATTTCGTTTTTTGTGCGTTCCTGACAGCAAACCATTCTTTGCCTTTGTTTTCTTCCCTTTTTTACTGTTACTTTTATTTTTATTGTTTTAACGTAGACAATTTATTACGACCATGAGGAGAATGTGGAGAATGTGGAGAATGAGGAGAAATGAGAAAGTGGTTAGTGGGGGCTTAAACACAATTTAGTAGATAAGTTTTACATGTAGTTTGTAATTAAGTCATTGTGCCTGTAGTATGAGTTTTCTTATCTTTTTTATTAAGTCCTCAAACTTCTCTTATAATAGAAATTACTGTTATTAATGCTAAATGACGAAACAATTGAAAGAAAATTAATAGTTTTAATTTAGCCATTAATTTCATTTAATTGTTACATTAATATATTAAATGCCACATTAATTGTTTGTTTTTTAATTTAGAGGCTTATATGCTAAAATGAGATTTTCTTTCCATCAAAGTGGGATAAGTTTGAGGGTTTATGGAATGATTTTA